CATATATTTGGATGAAATGGTTGTAAATTATAAAGGGTCGTCAACATTTTTGTACCACGTGCACAAGGCCTATCTGTACTTTATCTATTGACGTCGTACCGACGAGCTGAAATAGCAATTAGCTTACAAGATTCGAAACGCGCACGTACTGCAGAATCAGAACATTTCGATATTCGTTGGCCTTTGACGCTTTACGTACGGCAAAGTTAAATATCCTCTAGAGAAATAGCTTTTGCTGAAAAATACCATCCATGGAACTATACTAACTTCCATAACATAATTAACGGAATCCATAAAGTATTTAAATCATTCGTCGTCGCATGGCCATGGCCAGAAGGTCTCACTGTACAGGTTCGAAGCTAACTTAGCAAATAGGCTTGTGAATGTTGATGCTATTGTATTGTAACAATTGAGTTATCTTTTACAAAGTAATAGTCCATTTCGATACGACGTAAATCAGAGTTGACGCTATTGTTCAGTGTATACGTTTGTGTGAGGATATTGTAGAGCACTCCCTGTAGCGTTCTTAGCTGTACATGGTGTGTGCATATGGACAACTATTCCAATCGTTGCCACTATATTTGGATCCGACTGTTAGCTCTTTACCTATGTATACTCCAAAGCCTAATTGTTTCGCCAGTGGCCAAACGAAAGCGTGCAGCTCATGCACGAAGCTTCTAAGCTTATATTGATTGAATTGGTCTCATCTCAGAAACTCATCAACAGCACAGGTACGTTCGCGAATAGGCAACGCTTGATTTTATGTCTTAGTCGTGCGACAATATTACGATTCGGACTCGTTACCAAATTTCGAGGGCATTCTCGTCCCGTCTAAAGTTAAACGTGGTGCCAGCTCGACCGAGCCGAAGATTTCCGACTCGTGTACATCTCATTACTAACACATGGTACTCCTATCTAGGGAGCAATATACGATAATGTTATCAAGCTTTTACAGGGATGCAAAAAGGGGTTCCCTCGGCGGGGTCTAATCTCTGCCATCCACACAGCGAACACGACGGTTCTACTATTTGCCACCCGATTTGATCGTACATATAGGCATGTACCGCAGGCCGTTCATGTGGATACATACTTAAATCGTTAACATACAATAAACAACACGGTATGCTATTTTGTAATCGGTATCGGTACGTTTAAGCGTACATGCATTGCTATGTTTCTAGCTCCATAGGATCTGATTCAGTTTCAATTTGTTTCATCGAACATTCAAGATAGAATCTATAAGGATTTGCTAATTGTAATAGAAAGAAATACAAATCTCAAATGATTTCATGTCCGATTGATTTCATAAAGATTCATTTGATTCCAGAATCTGCGAATATGTTTACCGTTTACAACCAATCTAAATTCACGTTAGTTTTGGCATTATGTTGACATCACAAATATATATTCAAGGATCATCCCTAGGAAACCAAACAGAACTGAAAATACAAATAAACATTTTAGGCAGCATTAACGATTTCAAACCGGGGATCGATGTGTTTACCTACCATTGAAAAGAGTTTACAACAACTTGTTGCTTCTATCGAGACAGTGGCGTCCTGACATCCCTCGTGAGTAGCGGATTCGCAATGTAGGAACACAAGAGTGCTGGTAAATAAAATGATTTCCAAGGCGAGTCTATGGCCGCCTGTCTGTGCTCAGTATACTCTAGTGTCTCAAAGGTAGAGTCTGAGTGCGCTTCTATCTATGAAAAGTCATGGAGTAAGTGACTGGAACTAGCAAACGAGGCAAAAATTATTCACTAAATTCATATGCACAGTTACGAATAGCTAAATCATTCGTTCGCCTATTATTATAGATCCTGTCCCATTACCGTTCCCATTCATGTTCAAGACGAAGTAGTCTCTAATATTACCATATCGCGATTTGGGCTGCAGCGTCTACTTGCTGTGTAAATGTAGATCAAGACGCAGTTGACCGTCCATGCTTCGTTGACTGAATATGACTGATGATGGTGGTAGCAATGGCGGCTTTGAGGAACAAAAAACTTCTAGTTCTTTAACGCTTCTCGTGCTTGTAGATCGCTAGAGATCCATAGAAACACCTATCTGCTATTAGCTTCTCAAACGGTTAAAAATAGTTGTCAGCGTGACCGGCATGACAAAACAACAAGATATTTAGATACACGCGGTAATCGTTGATATTTGTGAGAAAAAAAATAAACGGCTAGTCAGTAGTTGGAGGCAGCCTATTTATTAGCCCAATTTCTTGTTTAGTTTAATATAGCCAAGGTCAAAAGCTCGGATGTGATCTGTTTGTACCACATATTTTTACGTTACCTGTAATAACGCGATCGTGAAACTGGGACGACGTTAGCTTAATTAGATGACGAAAACAGATTGCTGCTGAGGATCGAGAAAATCTAATACACTACAAATAGAAACCATAACGGCTGTCGCGCTTTTCAAACGTTCCTACATCGGACACAAAAACTTTAATATTCGAAATCATTACTGAGGTTTAGCTAAGAATCAAACTCGGGACCCTGAAGTTGGAGTATAGCATTTTTACTCACCCCAGCCGCACGATTGTGTAAACATATTTCTTACAGTAACTTGTCCTCGTGATAGCTTAATGGGTGTTTTGCCCGCTAATTTTTGGTGCACGTTGTGGTGTGTGGGTGTAGACAGGCGGACGGTTCGTTTCGCGCTGGCAGGAGCCAGCCAATCGTCTGTCTAATGGAACGCCTGCCTAACGGCGGTTTCGGACGCAAAATTCGGAACGTACAGGCTACGGTAACGTCTACAAAGTGGCGACGTTAGTAAACTCATATAAGCCCGCCAAATGGCTATTGCTCTGAGGATAATGTTGAACATAAGGCAGCATAATACAAATAAAAAACAAAACATTCTCATAGTTTTACCTGATAATCGGTGTTTCGAAATTCAAGGCGAAGATGATGGGGTAAACTGGAAAAAATAATATAAGAAATATCGCTCTTGAAGACATGCCGTTTTGTGAGAATTACCGCGTCGATTGTCGAGGAATGCGGAATGTCTCCAGAAAGGTTAGGCCATCTATTTCCATTTGCAAAGTTATACAACTAATAAAATGCTGCAAAAAGTTCTGACTATGTTTTTTTGGCCACAATCAACGCAATTTTAGCAGAATGTGTAAATTATTTATTTTGTTAGCTACGTTGTTTTTTGACGATTATTAACTAGGGTCCGTCCTTTATAGCAACAAATGAAATTATGCACATTTTTGAAGTTATCGGCTTGTGAAGACTATCTTGCTACAGGATATTCTCACCGGCAGAAATTCAGCAGTTTTGCAGACAAGATCTTTTATGTACAAAATTAAAATTTAGTGCGTCAAGAAACCGCAGTGCTTAAGCAATAGACTCCTTTAAGCTAATCAAATAATGCATACTACCGCGTTCAAATAGCGACGTATAGAGACATCGAAATGCGGCAAATTAGTTGTGCTCATGGCCGCTTCAGCGAACACGAGCACAAGAAAGCCCGCGATATTCAAAAGCGTGTATCACCAGCGTCAAGCGTGTGTTATGGCTATATCACTGTTTTGAGCACTCGCTGTGAAACCACAAAAAAATCCAACTAACAACATGATCATTTTGATCGATGAATTCGGTAAAAATGCTCTATTGTGCCGAAAAAATGGGTCAAAATTGGAGCTCGTTGTAGCACACTATTGGCCCCATTGGCGTCCAAGTGGTATTAAATAATCAAGCCATAAAGATAGTTTTAGGCGATTCCATTTGGAACTGAATAAACTAAGCGTGAACACTTTTATATCGTTCATTATTTTGTTTATAAATACAAAATATTTTCAATCAGCTGACTTGAAGGAAAAGGTATACTTCTTGCAAACGTGCCCTTTAAACCCAGGTCTTATCTGTCGCACGAGCACATATGTCCCAGAATAATATGTGCAAAGTTGTTTTTTCAAAACTTTTAATTTTTATTAGAAAAATGAATGTCATCGCTTTACTATTTTACCGAGAACAGGCTACATTTCCCTAGTTCTATCGATACTTCAAAGATTGACCTCACGTTTACAAACACCTTGTATGCGAAGAGTCAAATTCATCTTTGAAGTACATGCAATTCACAACTAACACAAAAAAAAATCCTTCATGACTATCTCGTCCTGACCATGATGGAGGATGAATTAAACTTTTTCTAAATCGCTCAAAAATGTAGCATTGCCTATATCTGCAGTTCTACTGTACTGTGGTGGCAGTCTTTTTCAGCAAGACTGTAGAAGATCCCGTTGGGTTAGAAACCTGCTGTCGATACTTTGTCCGCCTTCGATTGTTTTTAGTCAGGATTCTAATCTAGGTTGTTTTAGTCTAAATAGGCACAGGTATCTTTTCTCACCAATTACTTGAGCATAATCAAATCGGAGTTTTATTGCTCATGAGTGTGTTTACTATGACGGCAAAGCTGTCCATCCCCGTCCGGACAGGCACAGGTTTAACCAGTCCTTCCTGTACGGTCGGTTACACGAAGCTAGATCTTTCGAATGGAAAACAATCACAGTCTCTAAGACAAGTGTCTTTTTAAACAAAACTTTTTATTTCCGTAAATATACCTATTGTATACCACCAATAACGCATACTACGAACAAAGAAAGCGATTTTTTTCCTCAATTCTATTCGATACGATAGCTTGCTCATCACTGTGCAAAGAACTTGAGGTTTGTTTGTTAAAATTAATTCCAGTGGTGATCTGGATAACTCCTTTTAAATATGGAAAAGATGAAATGCAGCATGTTAGAAGCCACTATCAAAAAATTCTAAATATCACTGCACACGTCGACTTGGGCAGACAGCGGTGGTCGTCAATGGTAGTTCCATGATCCTGTGCTCGGTATTTGCCTTAAGCCATGTTTGTTTGCCATCCCATTGCATGCATCTACAAATACTGCATACTAGAAAGCCGTATATTGACTCAATTTTGAGTACAATCTTTGTAAAGCATATTAAGCTTAAAAAAATTGTGTGTTATTTCCAGCTCTTCCAGATGGCAGCCCCAACATCTCAGAAATGACCGAGGTAAATGTAACGTAAGCGTTAGAGTAGCCACGGGAAAAATCCCGATTTCTTTCGATCACGCATATGCCTTTTTGTTCTAAACTGGTTCGAAACGCTCGCCAAAACGAACGCTCGTAAGTACGTTATTCCATCGCCTGTATGGACTGAACCAGCATCTGATTTGCACACTCCCTATAAAGCTAAGAATACTAAATTAAGTATTCCGCAGTTAACAAATATACCGTAGTACAGTCACAGATGTAGAAAAGGTTTGAGTTCGATTCCTGTTTGTCGCGGTACATAGCACAATTGTGTGCTTTTCTATTAGTGTCACATAAATGCTTTAAGTTTTTCATGGCGGGTCAACAACCTTAAGGTTAAATTCAATTATAACCGTAAGTGTTAAGACTGAGCCAGTTTTCCCTTATTGCGATGGTGATAGCACTGGGCAATTGATACAAAAGTCATAACGATGTCAGCAGAATAGGTTTGTACTATCGGACACATCAGGTATGGTTGTACACGGTTTTCCTCGGTAACGATTAAACTGTTCGACCAAAATAGTCCGACTTCTTCAAATTCTTCTACAAGAAACACTGATGGGCAGAATCCCCGTGACAGATATTATCGTAACTGTACTTGCGAGCGGTAATTGTAGGAACTCTAAACTAAATTGGTGTTCCAGTAATATCGTTACGTCTAGCCTTTTAAATTAGAGCCGTGTAAGTCAAATTCCATTGGCATTTGGGGATCCTGTAGTTCATATAGGGAGAAGGCTATGTCTATCCACACACATATGAAAAAAACATGACAAAATGACTAGTACAACATGGGCCTATATTCGTAACAAGTTAGGTGACACAGCGGGCGGTTCGTTTAACCTGTGTGCAATTACTAACATATCCTTTAGTGCGAATAGTTGCAATCTATTGCAAAACTTTATAAGCCCCCGCAGAGCGTGAGAATGACCGACTAGAAATGAAGTTAATCGAAACAATGCCCATTAATTTCCTGTTTGCGATTTGGCGTATGTTTCAGCATTTCTGCAAGCTATCCTCAAAGAGGGAAAGACCTCGAAGCTAAAAAGATTTTCTTGTAAGCATATTAGCTATCTAATACATATATCTCTAATGGTCGCAGAATAAAAGCTGCAGAATACGAATTTTTAAACTAAGCGAATATTAGTTAACTTTTATTGCGACGCACTAATACTCTAATTGGTGTTCACTACTAGTTCTCTAAAATAACTTAAGACTTTATGAGGAACGTTATACTTTTACACGCCTAATTGTCTTTCATACAGTGTCACTTATATAGAATACATTTCCCTCGTACGCTTATTTTTTATTAGACCTTGACGTGAGATAAGGACATGCACAAGGAGATACTAGTTAGGGTTCATTTCAGGGTTGCTGCTCGGGTGTATCGCACGATGCTGGCGTTCATGGTAAACCTGTCAGTCACTAGCGCCTTAGGGCATCTATTTTATTCAACATCGATTTCATATTGTTTTCTTTTTCAGATCAATGAGCTGACAATTCAAGCGGACGACTGACGCGCCAAACTCGTGAAGCCGTCTATGAAGAAGACTTCCGAGCAGGTCTAACGCTTTGAATTTTTTTTGCAATTACTAGTATTTGTTCTGCAATATATATTTGGTGGCATAAAATTGCATGAACGATTCGTTAGTACTACACACATCAAAATCGGCTCTATGATTCCCGTTACTGGCATCAATGCTAGCCAAACGCATCACCTTGATCATTCGATCCGCTGTAATCTCGAACCAGTTGCTTCCCAAGTCGTCCACAAAACTAAGGACAAAGATCCGTCAGATTACGTCGGTCTGAAGGACTTTTATTGCCTTGCGCCAAAAAAAAAGGACATTTGCGGTTCGCGCATTTTGTTTTGACGTCTAATATTGCCAATACTTTCGAATGTTGTTAATGACGTTCGACAGCAAATATGCCCCGTAATGGTATTAATAGTTATTATCATATTCTAGTTGAAAATCTTATAAAAACAGTATTACCATATTCAGCTAGAAAAATAATTGCAATTTCTGCGCCCTAATATCGATTAGCCGATACCTTCTAAACACCCAAAAGGTGTTCGACTAGTTTCTGCCAATAGAATGATAAATCATGGAAAGAAAACTGATCATAGATTAAGGATGGGTCACCATTTAACATTTGATTGGATCGTGTGGATTGGCATAGTCACTTAATGACAGAATTATAATTAAGATATAGGCTAGATAAATTTCGTACGAAAGAACTTGAGTAACTTTTAGATAAGTGCTTAGAAAAGAATATTTTCAATTAGGTGGTCAACCTCTGAGTAAAATAATGTGAACTCTGAATTATTCACAAAGCCTCTAAACTTTGTGGACCACCTTTGGAAAAAACCTAGCACTGGTATCGTTCTACGGCTGTCGTTACGTCGCCATCATTGAATACCGTGTTATAATAGTTCTTTTCGCTCTATTTTAGCATCTAAGCGCCAATAACTTTGAATAGCCAAGAAAAACCGTTCTGAGAGTCGTATCAGCGACCTGCTACTCTTCAATGCCACATTGTATATGTACAGTAGCAGTAGGTTTCTGAAAATACTTTCAGATTCGGTAAGATGAAGATCAAAAACGTTAAACTATATATTGACTTCCGCTCGAAACTTAAGGTCGTCATGAAGGACACGAAGTTCGGCGAAAGAACAGGTACGTCTCACCTTGGGATAATACCTTATGAACATGGTAGGCACACTATTTCGACCTGTCACGCGTTCACAATTGTGACTACTTAGAATGTATAGCTAGTTTAGTCGTCTTAACTCACTTGCTTTTCGCCACTTCCAGAGCGAAGTGTCTTTCGCCGACGCAGTTCGATAAGAAGCTACCAGTGAGAGAGACCACGTGTCCAAAAAGGATAAAGAAGACCTTCGATAAGAGCCCAGTTCCATACCGCCCACAATTCCGCTTCCTGAGAGGCAACACAAATAAGGACACCTGTATGACCACATTCTCAACACGATACACTCGTTCCTGATTAGGTATTTACGCGATTGCCGTCAATAACTGCTCGCAAGTCGTACGAAGCTTCAACTGTGCGATGAACCAATAAACGTTCTTTAGTCTCGGGTAAACTGAAAAGCAATAGTGGAACGGACGACTACATCGTAACATTAAGACGACTAACGCAATAAATAAGCAACTGTTTAAAGAGGTAAATCAAGGTGCCTTTCTTATCCCCCGTACTGGTTCAGCTATATCTATTTTCGCTCAATTCACGTAGCTTGCTTTGGCCTATGTTACGAATTTGCTTTCTATGTTATTACTCTATTTCATCAAGCTTGCATGCTGTACTAGTCGAGTTCGGAACGCCTCCTTGATTCGTTTACCTAATCTAGGTACTCTTTTAACGTGCCCGTTTGACTCCCGCCGTCTTATAGAATACTGCGCAAGACATCAAAGTGTGATGTCCTTCGTCGAATAATAGCACCGGCAAAAAGCGACAAACAAAGGATGTTTCGATGTTCCAACGGACGGAAATTTCTCGTTGAACTCGTACTTCGTTGATACAATCCAATTTTCTTTAGTTTAGTGCACAGATGTCGTGTGCAATTTGACAGCCTATAGCTGTTCCAGGCACTCGGTCGGGTAAATGAAAATCGCAGATATATCGAGCTCATTAAGCACACTATTTTCATTTATCATTCATATTTAAGTTAATCTCTATTCGAATGTTATGAATTCGACTCACGGTGAGTCGAATGAAGCAGTTTCATTATTTATATCGATCATATTTGATACATTTTCCTGTTTCTACATGCGCTATATATTCTATGTGTTTCTCGTTTGCAAATGGCTCACACGTTCATAATTACCACGTTCAATGTGACCAACCATGATTATATATAATACTGTTTTTATGAATCTCGATAACTAATTTCTCAAAAATATAGCTCTCCATTTGTTCCATATCGTAGGTGAGTGGCTAAACTGTAAAGCGTTCGTGATACAATGGGTGGGATGCGGATACTTGTTTCAAACGTGCCTACATAAGCTGCTTGTTTTTTTCACGGTTCCTGTTATTTTTGCAAATCTCTAACACGTGCTCGCTCAACTTTGGGCGTACATCCCATTCTGCGCTCACTCTAGAGAACTATAACTCGAACTTGTTGCCCGAACAACTTTACGACGATTGCGCTGGCTTAGCTTACTATATATATATATATATTTTTTTTTTTTTGTTTTTTGCGCCACATCTATCTGTTGGCGTCTGATAACATATTCTAATAGATCTCAGATCAGACGTCATTTGATACTATGAGAATATGGCATTTGGTTAGGATCCTTGTTGTACCTATTATGAAACACGACTATAACATACATATTGTCGTTTCATATATATATATATATATATATATATATATAGGAAATTGATTACAAACAATAATAACAATCAGCATTGTTATTCGAATAGGTAGCTTTCTGTATATTTTATCAATTCGACAGGCATTCCGACGTTTGTTGCCTCTTGTCTGCTACCTTGATCTTCCTACGAGCAACAACTCTCACTGTATTTAAGACTGTCCTACGAGTCACGACTACTAAAGAAATAACAAAGTTGGTTCACAACTCCAGTGAGAGAAATCATTCGACCAACGATGTATTACAATAATAGTGCATTAATTATTCGCATAATTATATATAAACTCCGCGTATATGTGATGCAAAAGAAGATAATTAATGTAAACACTCTCACAAATTATATTCCCTAATTAGCGCGATAACATCATGTAACTAACTATCTAACAAGTGGTAGCATATGACAAGAACAAGTAGATTTGTTTGCTGTTCAATTTGTTTCAATACTATTGACTTCGTGAATGACCACATACATGTTCTTCTTCTTCTTCTTTTTCAATAATATATATATTTTTACAAAAAGCCACTAAGCTCAGTTAGTTTAGTTCTTTCGGTACGTTTACTGCTCTGCTGCCATGGCACGATCGCATACTGCAAATTTGTACATAGCATCTTAATAATCAGTGATACAGAGACGATAAATTTTCCTACTGAGCACTGTATTGATGAACGCAAACGAAATGTTTCTCTTTATCGCACTATATTCTACGTACGTGGACACGTCGTCTTGGGAGCAAGCCGTTACTAGTCAGTAACAGCTCGTAATCGTTGCCGTACTCACGCACAATCGGAGGCGTTTGCTATCTGATTCTATTCATAGTACTAGAATGTACGCGGTGACTACGACACGGAGCAAGGTGTTGGTGTAGTTTTCAGGTACATTGAATGATAGATGCGTACATGTACGCAGTACGATGCTTTTTTAGTAAGTCGTAACTACTTCTGCGATAAACGGACGTTGCTTTCAGATAGACTAAGAGACGTCGACTTCATGACTAAGGTACGACAAAATTTAATAGAGTTCAGTTGAATCAAGCTTCGACCAGGAAAAAAGAATAACGTATCTCGCTGAACGGACACAGGGTCAGCCAACAAACGCGATGACATGCTCAGGCATGTTCAGCTGTCCGCCCATAATAGTCAAGGGTAGCGTGCAGCTGCATGTTAAACACAGTTTAAGACTGAACACGTTCCTTCCGCGTTGGAAGTGAGCCCTCGTACTAAACGCAATTCCGCACTCGAACAAGTCAACATGATATTCGGTAACGATCATACGGGCTGAAGGAAGTCAACAGTTATCCACTTCTGAATGATCAGTTTTGTTACAGTCAAAAGAGCACTTCCAACTTGTAAGTTACGCGTTGAAGAGGCATTACATGAATGATAAAATCGTGGCAAAAAATAAATTAACCAAAAATAAATGATCACTTATAGGGTCTCATAACAATATGATATTGACAAAGAATTGATACTCTTGCCATTCCTAACGCTACAACAATGTTACTGGTATGGGAAACGATACATGCTGGGATCGAAGCGCACAGATTCCCTGTGAGAGTTTTCGAAAGCGTAACTATTCGCAGTATATTTTTAAGGGCTGAAACCTTTCACCCTCAATACGATTGCTAAATAAGATACCAAATATGTCCTAGTGTGTACATATACCGACCTACAGGCAAGTGGATGTCATTAGAACCGTTGACATTATCTTTTTAGCGATTTCGTTCACTTTCTCTCGAGAATAGATTTACTTGAGGATATAACTGCTAAATTGGTGAATTTTATTTATTAGTCTTTGGTCAGTCACGACAATTTCATTTGACTTTCCTAATAGCACCTTAATTTGAGGAACGTAGTTACCCGATGATCCAAGCTTCTCTCATTGAATTTCAACCGCGTCGTCATTTTAAGCTGTGCGTATTTGTGAAATCTCATTTAAATTTCAACAAAAAAATAATCGATTCTTCATGAAATGGGTAGCTCTACTTCATGCTGATCTATAGTGAGTTACGTAGACCGAATTTTGACAAAAAAAGAAGGTGTATTTTTCATTTTCTATAATATCGTCACCACCAATATTTCAGCCCGTGTTGTTGGATGTAGCGTACATAAATCAAATCTAATACATCTAAAACCTTTTTTCTTATCTAAAAATAGAGGAAATCTATATTACACTGACACGAAGCGTTTGCCTCGGAGAGTTTTACTAAGGATCGCGCCCGTAACTGTCGAATACAGTGATCATACACTAACACACACACACGCACACACACGCTCAGACACCTGAATGTCTTTATATATATAGAAATGTCTGTATACAATACCTTGATAGTAAATCATTGCGTCTATATAGTATGTGTCAGGAAATCAAAACAACTTCATTAGTTATACAAGTTTATACGCTTAAAGCTATTCAGTAAAATTGCGCCCAACACGATTTTCAATATAAGCTTTTTAGACAGTAATTTGCCCCTATTTCGAAGTTGAATCGAAACGAACGAGTTTGTATTGAATCAATATAAGCCTATACAACACTGCTCGTTCCTACAGGAGACATCACATACTAGATGCAATATCAATAGAAAGACTGGGAATGCATTTTAATTATCTATCCATGGCCGGTAGACTGGTGAAGGAAGGTCTTTTTCTCTTCAGTCTAATGGTACAATTACAGTATGCTACGCCAGCGTACTTTAAAGATCAGAAGCACATTTCTAATTAGCCATTTGGCATTTCATACGCATTGGGTTAGAACTAAGGCAACATCATTCCGCACCGTCAGAATATGCAAAGCCCTGCTCACCAAACGCGAGGTATAAATATATTCAGTGTTTCTTCCGACGAACAGATATTATTTTAATGTAAATTTACATTTATACAATATTAAATATCGAAACTGCACTAAAAGTGAACAAGTAAATAATCGGAAATGCTTTTAACTCTTACTTTCCACAGCTTCCAATACATTTCCTCTACAAAATACGTTGCCGTTTCGGTCACATTACTACGTTGGACCAAACAGCTTCACCAATCAGCATTGACGAATATGTTTTACCATACACAATGCCACCAAATATCACAACAACAGCAGCTTAAGTCATAGGTTCGGCCGGACCACCAAGATCGCAAGACATTTTGTCATTTTTTCCTTTTCCTGGAAGCGTGCTCTCTTATAATATGGAACGCATCAGTAAGAAGCGTCTGTCTGTTTAGTATAGCATATATAATTCCCACTTCTGGAATGACCCGACCAAGTTTCCAAGTCTTGAAAGAGGGCAACTCTTACTTGTCACCAAGGACAGCGCACATATACGTTCCATATTTAGAAGGAATCACGTAGACGTTTCAGGTTTAAATACGTGACTGTAGTAACGATAGAATACGCTCGTTTTGCTGTCCCGCCTAATGGTATTGGGGGCTTCCGCTCGAAGCTGAAGTTGAAATGTAGATCCTTGGTATGAGCTCGATCAGATCGACTTGCAAGAACTAGAAAAGGTTCTAGTAGCCGCGTTTGGGTAATCGTTGACCTTTGTTGCGCACACCTAGGGACTGGACCAGCAGCATATGCAGTAGATCTATTGTACGCTTATGCGATTATATCACAAAACTTAGCGGCGTACGAGCATAGCTGATTGAACGTCTTCTCCCGGGGTTCGCATAGGATGCTCTGCGTTATTGAATCCCAAACAACACGACAAGTGAGGCCCGGCTAAAAGAAGACGTATAAAAAGAACATATGAAAAAAAATTACAATACTATATTCCCCTTTTACGACAATTGTATTTCAAATACAACAATAACCTCAACTCCAGCTACCGATGCTAACGGAGCCGCTAAAGATCTCACACTAAACATACGTTCATATTATACTATTTTTTTTTTTTTTTCTGTGTTTTTTCTCCTCAATTGTTATTTTCATCAAAAAATAGTAAAGCCTCGCGGGTTTAAATTTCCTGAAAAAGGCAAAACAATTTAAAAGTACAGGCGTATTACTCAACACTTACGTGTGACAGCTTCAGATGTTCAAGAAACAGCTGAGCCTCAGTTTCGCCGTAAAAGCTAATTATCCACGAATACAGGCCGTCATCGTCAGTGACATCTCCTTTTTTCTTGCTTCCAATTTTTGACACACGCTGATTAAAGAACAAGATACACAAAAATTCGAGAAAAATAGGTTAACGTATTTTTTGTTTATTTAACAAGAGTCTATCTAACAAATGGGTTTTTGGCTGTGCGTACCAAAAAGGACGTCGGTGAGTTTCATGGGGTTGTTTTGTGCACTAAAGTGTAAGATAGCCAGATTTCTTTAAACATCGTAATTTCAATTACAAACAGCAGAGGCAAACCAACAATATTTATTCTTTTCAGCTTGACGTATCTATTTTTTTTTGTATTATGCGCGTCTCACCTACCACGTAGCATCTACATGAAGATAGTCAAAAACAACGGTTTTTTGCTAGAATATCATGTTGACACCCCATTATAAATCTTTCCGTAATATCGTCGCTTTCTACAATCAAGCCTCCAGTTCCAAGTCAGTATAAAGGGACTAAAGAATAATTATAAAACACAAACGATACAAACTTTTTGTTGTGATGCCATGGTGTTTGACCCCGGTACTCGGCACTCGACGAGAAATGAATTGTAATATGCCCCCACTGAAATTATGTCTGAAAAGCGCGTCGCTTCCAGCGCCTCTGAACCGCGAAATACGATTAAACGGTTTGTCTCAAGAACAATGCTACAAAGGCTGGCACCCATCGAGATTCCCCCGGCACCGTGCTGTAAAGATGAGTTAAAATTAGAAGACCCCTTTGAGCTGCTTTGCTTATTGTATCGTTGGAAACTTCTCAGTAGCGTATGAAGCCACTCGGAAAATTCAAACTCGCTCTCGGCCGCCAGCTCAAGAGAAGGTTCCGTCGACCACATAACTCGAAATGAAAATGGTCGAGGGTTTTCCATACAGAGCTGTACACCTCCACATGACGGATCCCTGGGAAGACAACAACGAAACAAATGAAAATTATATACGGTTTAGAACAAAACAGCCAATAGCTTGTTCTCTACGGGTATCTGGGCTAGAGCTTCATTATTTTTGAAAAAACCGCCATTCAGTCACTGATTTTATGCGGCAACGACAAGTTTCTTGCATATTAGCAAAAGGGTGCTACGCCGTCGTAGAATACGTTTGCCAAAATACTGTCGTCTTAAAAAAAAAAACCTTTCTACTAACGCAAGTTTGTAGACAGCTGTTGGCGTAATGTCGCTCTCCAGGTCGTATTGTTCGAGCGACGCTCCTTTCAATTCGAATCGAGCACTCCGCCACAGGATCGTGTTTTCCATACCTCGTTTAGGAAGCCGTTTCGGCACAAGTCGATAGAAAAGACGTGACACAATCATGCCGTGAGGACCAATACTTGCATGTCGTTCATAGAAAGCATCACGTGACGCGAATCGCTCGCATGAGGCCCAAAGGACGTGTCGAACGGTCGACCAATCCTACACACACGAATAACAATAATAAATTACAGTAGCATCCAAGGACAACGTTAACGAAGAAGATCGTTGCTGGGATAACATCAGCGCTGAAATATAGGTAATCGTTCAAAAGCTACTAAAAAATATAGATTATTTCTTTAAAACAATGCGAATTGTACTTATTTGGCTGTCATTATAATTTGAGATGACATTTCTATATCTTAACACGCTACCAGCGTGGATTATTTAACTCTGATACGTACCTTGAGGAGAAGCGTGACAGGTTTACAAGAATGCCGTATTAAGGGGAGTGCCTGCTGTCGAACGCCGAGTCGTCTTAAGCTCAATTCGATATGACCCACTACCCATGAACATTGCTCGGCAGAAAGCATCACCAGTTGAAGACTGCCCACTCCGACGCCTTCGACGACCTCACCGGTATCACAATCCGCTGGGTGGTATCTGGTCACGCGCGAAATATTACGCATTGGTGAATATGCAGCTGTTCGAAAAACCTAAAAAAAGCAACGATAAATTAAACGCCATAAGGAAAAGCCACGCCATTTATACAATAGATCAAAACTGAATAAAAGGCCAGGTTACAACTAACTCAGACTATTAAGCCGCATCTGACTGACCGCTAATTTGTATACGTTTTATTAAAGTCGCATGAGAACGACATATGTTTTCGTTTGTTGAATCACTTGTTAACTTCGCAGCCTTCGAAAAGCACGAAACACACAAACGTCTGTTATGTTATCATGATGGGATGATTTTCAGTTGCAATCCACAGAATATTCTCTTTGGTAAACAAACTGAAATTAATGTTTTACACAAAGAAAGCTGCAATATAAGTCATCCTGTAAACCGCTGTTGAGTCGGCGATCAAATACTATCATGTGTATTGTACCTCTCTGGGTGACGTCCAAACGATTTCGATCGCTTGAAGATCCATAGCTAGCCGCAATTGACGGATATGTAGCAATGGCAGCGACGCCACCTGGTTTATAACGCAGTAACGAGACAACTTAGCTTTCTTAATTTAATCACATATATTGTGCAATATATATATCAATAATGAAGCTAGAGCCTCTTAACCAGAGGTTTAATCACCTAGGCCGCCGCGTCGGTGAAATCATAACTCGATATTAAATATCTTGTACACACATACGTATATATATATATATATATATAGTAGCTCTTTAAGATAAAGTTTAGCTCAAGAGAGGCATATTTCCTAATCAGAAAAACAAACAATAGTCGGAAAAATAGTCATAATAAATGATATACATCTGGTCATGCCTTGGCTCACCTGGGTTAGGGAGTAGCCATCGGTAGTCTTCAGTAAAAGCAACCTCTGTGTTGTAAGAACGAGAAAAATCACTGATAAATGCTGTTGCTCTACCCGATAGTAGTAACACAAAAACACCTGAAAAAAAGCCAGAAGCCCTGAAGTCTGATTTAAGCACAGATTTAAATAGATAGCTACAAAAGCTACAAGAACAAACAGCTACAAAAAAACTTTAAGCAACTTACAGGCAATTTCGTTTAATGGCAGTCTGGTTGTATTGCTTTGCACTGTGACCTGTTATTGTACTAAAAGTTCTGACACACCACCAGTCTGCGAGAGGGCTTCCGTTGCGGTAGTTCTCTATAAGTACAATGGCAACTTCGCCTTTGTTTGGAGCACCTTATGGTCTTGTGCTGACCGGATTCTCAGCGTGTAAATTCATTATTTACACGTAAAGGTTCCTACAGCATGGTAGGACAGCCAAGATGGTCGTGTTATCACTAATAAATTTCTAGAAATCAACCCCAAGTAAGAAAAATGAATGTGGTTAATTCATGTGTACGATAATAATGGCCTTTCAAGGACCTTTTACCTTGTAAAAGCTGTCTCCATCTTCGTCCTTACAGAGATCCTCAACAAATTTCAGTAGCGACTCTTTGGCTAGCAACTGTGCGATATCATAACGTTCAGCATTTGACATCTCCAGTTCGTTGAGTACTGCTAGCACATTATCACTGTCCCCGTCGAGCTGTTGTGTGAAATAAGGTCAACGATCTTTTAGACTTTTGGACTGACTTCCTTCGTAAGATTTGGTATTCTATCTCAATTTAGTTGCTACCTTAATAAAATACCTAGGGCGGGCGAAGGAACATGAAAAAATATATATTTTTTAGTCTTCGAATGTATTACACTCTTTTTCAATACGTATATAAAATAAACAGCTAACTTGTTTTTATTTAATCAACAGATTACATTGGTCAGTACCTCTACGGCTTGCTCAAGGCTGTCGGGTCCATTTAAACCATCCTGTCCAATAAGCCCATGTGGTCCGCCCAGACTATCGAGTTGGTCTTTTTGTCCAGCTGATACCGATCCATCTAAGACCCCGAGGTGTACATCCGCCTGCACAGTCAACGAGTGACCACCTATATCTTAACGATACAATATAAAAAGGGCATTGTAATATTTTTTATACAAACTAAAAACTCATTATCATCCTGAAGCACTATGAACAAAGACACAGTTTTCGTACACCGAAATCTAAACATCATTTTCGTGTACATCAGTTCAGTTTGAGCAATGGCCATTAGTTGAATGCCTTCACAGTTCGCCAATCGATAAAAAAGTTGGCGTTTCCTTACCCGGAGCGTCGGCAGGGTTATTGATCTGATCAGCTTGTCCAATATTGTATAAATAGTTGTTGCGTTGAACGGCGCAGTCTTCCGAAGACGAATGCGACCAGTCGTCGAGCTGGGCTGCTTGTCCCAGTCGCGCGCTTCTCTTCTGCTGCTCTCCTGTTTCAATGAGAAGTAAACATTACGCGTGAAACTGAGACGATCGATTGTCCAAGAATGCCCCCTTACGATACCGCCACGATATTCATGTGCCTTACACAGACAATATCTTAATAGCTTCTCTACACGAACGAGAGAGAACCATAGATTTAAACGGCTCTCTATTACAATGCTCTTGTACGAGTTGTGGCTCCTAAAGAAAATATGGACGGGCTAACTGTAAAAGCAATTCTATCATCATTTCCAAACTACAACATAAGGGCTGCTCGGCTGGTGACAAGTGTGAACAGGAGCATCGTGACGACTAGCGGTTGTAAGGTATAAATAGGAGAAAATAATTTCCGACCGACCATGAATTTTCGACGTTTGTCAAGAGTTTTCATGTATAGAGATTTTAATGTTTACGTACCTATGAGATTGTTGTTGTCTGCAACCTTTTCGATTCCAGTGTTGGGATCAATAATCAAGAAAGCGCCGTTCTGTACTGGAATCTCATCTGCGCTATCCGCAACCGCCAGGCCTTTCTTCGACGAGAGAAATTTCGCCTGATCCAGTGAGGAATCGTTCTGCGAAACCATAATGCAAAAAGAACAGCACGGTCTAGTAAAGTCTGCTCTCGTTATCGTCTGTTGCTTTTCAATTCAGAATCGTATTACCATAAATTTAATAACGATACGGTCGCTACATTAACTCACCGTGACAAAAGCAAACTTCAAATTGCTCAGACGTGCAAGATAATGTATCGTAACTTTAAGCCGCTGAAACGAAAAAAGTAGAATGCTTTCTTTGTAAGAAAAAACTGAAGAAGTACCACTTGTTAGATTTAATTCATGTATACATATTCTCTTGATATAAACCTAACAATACATTTCAACACTCACTCTATACTTAGACGTATGCACCGTTGAACGGGGTAGGCATTAGTATTTGCATGTGACAAGCATTACCGCAAATATTAAGAACGAACAGCGCATCAACCCTGATCGACACGTTGAATCCAATTAAAATAGCTAAACTGACACTAATTATGAACCACAATCCAACCTACCAGAGTATCGCGGAGTAGTGCGTTGTCAAGATAGTACTTGTTGACAAGTTTTCGATTGTAGACAAAAGATTGAAAGTAACAGACGAGCAGGCCGCTTTGAAGAGCCCCGAGTAACCAGGCGCGACCGTAGCCAAGATTCGAATTGACTCGTGGCAATGATATGATCTCACGAGTCGTCTCCTCGTGACAGAACTCCGCCACGAAAGGCCAATAACCATAGAGAGGCGTTCGCAGGCTAAAATAACATGAAATAATATGACTGTAGGTTATGTTCCTCGGAGTTGAGGGCGATAGATAGTCAAAGGAAAGATGTGACGATCACAATTACTCAGTACCTGCTCGGCCTCTACTGTTCATCCTTACGTAAATAGACCGAATCGTGTTCTTTTCCATAAGATCGTTCGATTGATATTCTTTATATACAATTGGGCTTAACAGAACGATGGACATGCCGGGTTGTCTAAGTCATTCTATAGCTGCGTTGTTACGTCAGCGTACATTGCATTAAGTAAAGCTTTTGACGGCCTTCTACAAAACTTCCCAGAAATCAACTGATTTAAAGTGTTTTTAGCACCTTTTCATCGAAGCTCGGGTGTTTAATTACACTGTCTCTACTGTATCTTTTTTCCGAAGTGTGAATAAGGCTTATATCCCTTGAGCCGTGCACATCAGCTATAAGTCACGAACAGCCTTGATTAGGACGGAGTTTAGGTAGGCTCCGAGTAACACTAAGGCGAACTCCCTTGCCGGTCATTTTTCTCATCATTATCACATATTACGTCACTAAGGACCATGTTAGTAGTGGCGCAAACCAGAGCTTAACTGCAAGCCAAATATACATCTAATAAATTAGAGCCCGGGTCAAACTCAAGCAACACTTACGTATTATCCTTTTAAAATCTTTATCTGCTAAAGGTGTACGTTAAAGCAGTCACGTCTGTATCAGTTCTACGAATAAAGAAGCTCCACGAGGTTTAGCAATAGATATAACTTTTTGAGCTTAGCTAAGCAAAATCTTTGGGTAACCGACGACAAACATTTGCGGCCCCTCGCTGACTTTGAGTATCTACGGCACGTTTGAAATTCAAATCTATATTTAGGGAATAATCTATTTCGTAACCGTGTTCTATGTGAAAAGACCGTTTGATAACGGCTTATAGAGAAAAAGTATCGTAGTATTGCGTTTCCTACTATAATCATCTAATAGAAATCTCAGGACGCAGTCAACATTGAAGTAATTCCTGCCGAACCAGTTAGATAGTTCATTATCGATATGATTTATCTCAGTATGTGAACTTCACAGGGGGGGTCAGCACTGTACTCAGAGCAGTTGGCATTTTGAAAGCGGCTTCTCGCTAGGGAGGACTATTACTTTGCGTGTGGGTGTATGTATACATGAACAAATGTATACTCATAATCAAACGTAATCATCAATACAGAGCAAGTTTGCTCCACAGTAACGTTGCAACATATTTGGTTTCCAACAATAAGTTCCAACAATTTCAAAGGAGCTTGCCTGGCCAAACGAAACGAAACGCGATTTTTCCAAGTATAAAGGGAGGCTCTTAAACGACTCGCGGATGCAGAGTAATCTGTGTCAATGCAACAAAAAGACTGAACACATTTGTACTAGCCACCTATAAAGCTCATCAAAAACGTACAGGCAAGTGGATACAGAAACGATTGCAGCTAAAAGATCATAAACTGTATAGGTTTGCCAAAGCAAATGGTGGCTTCGTGAGATGAGACAAAGCAATCTGCATCCAAAGTAACTGTCACAATTGTTGTCCACGAAGAAAACAGGTAGAGTGTATTGCATATCCATGTGAAATGTGCAATGTGACCGGGCAATACAAAGGGACAGTATAGTCTTTCTTGAAAGCAACTTGGTCGTTTCAGAAACGAATATCAGAGTGTGATGATGTTATCCGCTAAGGTCAGGTTGGCAAAGGTGAACCTTTGAAAAAAGAGTTAATTCAGCTTTTAATGTTTCAAGGGCATTCATCGGATTTATTGGTCAGCTTCTATTCCCGTAACCACCATTACTGTAGATATCAACCATAAATGAGATTCGTTAAAAATCGTGCGAATACTCCGCACAGCTATTGAAGGTCGATTGGAATATAAATAGGAAGCAAAGGCATATGAAATATCAGACACTACCACAAGATATCGAAGTAAAATTTGAAAGAATAAGGTATTGTCGTGCCCTTCAGATAGCTAAGGATGGCCACATTATTCAAAAAGTTATAGTCCAGTGTAGCTTTAGACTAAAGTAAAAGTGTATTGTCTCTTTATAACGCAAACTTACCCATAAAGAAGGATATGATCTAACTGTTGGCATAGGTAGCGAACCTGCCATAATCGTGGTGTGAGCTCCTCACCGCAGAACAGTTTCTCCAACTGCAATCAAAGATAAGCGAAAAAGATCTTTTTACTTTAAATTATTTACTGAAAGGGAAACCGTTCCTTGAAGCAGCTATAATTGCAATGGCTTATACTTGCGCAATTCTACGACCATTTTCGTGGGCCGCACGGCTCCAAGCAATTCAGAAATAAGAACTTCAACCAGGTCTAGCAAAGTCCAAAACTCGACTCTGGTCTGCATTCTGTATTGGACCTTCAAAAACCAATATATTCATTGATCAACAAAAACAGTTCAATCGTATATAGGATAAGCATTCTTTTTATGTTACGTCTGTAGTTTTTCATCGTACGATTTGCATGCGAGTATTCGTCTTTGTCGCTGTTTTTTACTACCTGAATATGGATCTTGTTCAAGCAAAAACTCATTAGCGTCTCTAGCTCAGGGCTTGTTCTGCTGGGGGCGTAATATTCTAAGAATATTTAAATTGGCCAAAGACAACCACACGGTAAGGAGATATGAGCAATGAAAGACGTTAGTTGAGAACTGAGACTAGAACCTTTGTACTATGTCCGATTCACCTTGCGGCAGCAACAGTAACGTACTCTGCGGACTTATAATCTGCTGAGTGGTGCTGGCACTCCATAGGTACGACGTTCCCTATATAGACAGGAAAAGAATGGGGAATATGCAATCATCATTGTATATTCGTACCAAATCACAAACCTCATGAAATGACTTTGTATAACGAATATTTTTGTGTAACTGTGTTTCTACAACTACTTAGAATTAAGAAAAATAACGACATGTAACTTACTGTTCAGTTTAAGGCGCGTTATCGTTTACTTCATCTACATAGAGGATAAACTTTTATTCGCATGTGATAGCTATACAACAACTGGAAATCTTTTATGCAACTCATTTCTGTGCTTATTGTTGCCCCTCAAGAAATTTTAATGAACCTACATTTTGCAAACGATTTAATTACTCTCGGCTTCTGCGCAGGTGTCGTCAGCATTAACGGATCTAGCGGTGGTGGCTAGCGGATTTTACCGAAATACCGATATTAACTTATTACCAATAAAGTCCACCGTAGATCCTCTAAGTTGGGTTGCGACCCGAGCTGTAGAAAGACACAGCTTTACTTGCCAACTCATTAAAAGCAAATACAATAGGCTAGTATATAGAATCCGAATGCCAAAGCAGTGCCAACATTAAGATATCTGCGAAAGACAGGAATTGTTCCGTCAAAGGCCCTTTCCTCGTATAATTTGCTCCCAGAACAATTCGTGTTAAAGTGAAGGTGTACTGACTAGTGAAAGCTGCAGTTTTGCACAAGTGATTCTGTCCCCGCGAGAAAACGCAACTAGGCCAGGAAGAAGAAAGCTTCCTGCCCTTGTTTAGTCCCGAGATTATTACGAAGTCCGGGGGGCGTCTCTCGTTGGCCCGTGCTTTGGCGTGACACATGCTGCACGCAGATGACCTTCGACCAACACATTGTATCTTGTATAATCAGCTGCTAATATTTACCGCCGACAAGAGCTCAACTTCCTCAGGCCCATGTACTTTGGTTAGCGCAAAACTACCATACAATTATTCAACCTTGCACACGCACCAAATCACGTTAATGATTATTGTTGACTAGGTGGAGACAACAACTACGTAGACAGGCGATTATGGGTACAGTGATACAACAATATGAACGTCCTAGATGACAGAAAGTAAATCACCCCTTGAAGAACACAGCGCCTATTATTAGCTAATATAATGACCACGCTTAGTCTCGCGTATGATACTAGCTACTTTAAAACTGACAACATCCTTATTCATGTGTAGCTCTCCTAGTGTCAGTGGCTGTTGAGACAAACCAAAACATTGTTCGAATGAGCGTTCATTGTATCAGCGCACTCGGACAAGCAGAGATTACTGAGGGCAGCGTGAGGTGTACCAGCGGCACTGGGGGAAACTCTAACGAGTAAGACGGAGCCAGCTTGCCGTAATAGCGTTAGCTATAGGGTGTGCCTTTTTATGCATCGTTATTTTGAGTGAAGTCTGCAATGAGTGAAAAAAGCAGAACCTTAAAGGCGGAAACCTTCCTGAGCTATAAAGCACTACGATATGTTCTTCTACAAACGAAGCTAGTATCGATATTGTTGCGTCACTTCTCAGCTATCTCCTGCAGATCATACATCCTCGTAGAGCATATAATATAATACAATAATATTCCTGGAGGTAGTTTAGCTTGCATGACATCTGACGCAAGCAAGCTCAACAAATAGGCTGGGAACTATACCATAACATGGTCAAGGCTCACAAAATCTACTCTCATGATCATACTGAACGAAGTTAGCATCTTGATTTTTAAATATGGAATGGCGAAGTCTGTGGTGTCGCGCTCCTGATACAGAAGAGAAACCCCAGGCCAATCCCCTTTAAGCATTTACATTGCTGGTTTTTAGGCCAGGGCCAAAACATTAAGTTTCTTGAGTTGAGTACGGTCATAATGATTCCAAAAATCAATTTATTACTACGAAACATGCTAGATTAGGTAGCAACGATTGGAATAGAAAGTCTGTAAGAGAAAAAAAGATGGCAGATTGATTAACAACTTTGTTGAGCTCAACAGAAATCGGGGCATGTGTATTGAAAAAATTGGAGAAACTATGATTTTTGGAATAGGCATTGATCCTGTATTACGAGTAGTTTTAAACATCACTTTAAATGTAGACTTTGCCAGCGAAAATTAAAAAGCTTGAATTGGACCAGCGGAACTTGCTATCTACGTTATAACATTTCTCATCTATAACGTGCATTTACGATCAAATTTCGATTCTGTTAGAATTTATTTTAGAGGTTTTCATGAATGCAAGTTTTTGTTTTCTTATAACCACTTGATAGTGGGTGGGTAATCATTTCTGTCGGGTCATTTAGAGGCTGACCTTGTTGTTTCCAGGTAGAGGTTGAGTCCACAGCGTTGTTGTCCTACAGCTATCCTGCAACTTCTTTATGTGTTAGTCCGGGTCAAGGAGAGATTCCCTGTACTGCCCATATTACACATACACTGTTTTTACGGTTAAATAACTAGAATGTACAACCTTCTTCGAGCTTGCTCTATCATAAGGCTTTGTCAAACCTTGCCGGCACTCCTGCTGGGTTAACATCCATCTAACGGACAGAATTACTACGGCTGGACGCGGGTCTATTACGGCGGCATTCAACACCTTTATATCTACTGGAAATCTTGTTTTTGGGCATTCTAGTGGTCCTCATTCGTGGTCAGAGGGCCCGATAACGTTCAACCGTCCTTGACAGCGATATTACCAAAAGCAAAAAAAAATTACCTATCATGTCGTATACGACTAGTAGTAGCTAGCTGAAAATTAAATTATATCATATTTAGGTGCACTGTAAATACCAGCCCAGCCAGCACCGCCTGATCCCGAAACACAACACGTCTGTGTCTACTTGTTACGGTTGCATGCAGCGCCATATTTTGCACCAAACAGATAGATACGTTTTGCAAGATTATTTTTTCTCTTCCAGGCGTCTCATAAAGATCTGGAAAGCGACGTTAAGGCGCTGGCTAGCGTCATTTCTGGTTACCAAAGAAAAATGCCTGAACGTTTTAGCGTAGTCCTCCACAAAGCCTTTTCCAACTGAAATTAAACAGATTAAAAAAAATAAATTCCCTATATGCGTATTTCAGGAGAGAACTTGCTTCTTTCATCTCCTCAGCCTAACCTCTACATTTCACTGAACAGCTAATATCGTGTGCAATAGGGGGTTATAATACCACGATCTTATTTTAGTACTGAGCCAATGACTTACTTAATTAAAAAAAAAATACACTTTAGGTGATATTACATTGATTCTAGAGCGATTCATATATCTATCAAACAGCGAAAAAAATAACAACAAAATCTTAGAAAAATCACATTCGTTTCTCTGTCACAAAAACAAACAAACAAATAACCGAATTGACAACCAGTTAATCCTCATCAAAGAGGCTACTAAAAACAGGTTGACATCAAAAAGTATTTAGATTTTTTCTCAGTTTACTTCCTTGCAGCCCTACAGATGTACGGAAGCATGTTTTCAGTACCTTCACCTGTCGACACTATGTTTTAACTATTATCATATTGGTACATGATGTACTTGCTATTGCTTTTCACACTCAGTACACAGTTACCGTAAATCCGACATTTACGACATCCGGCACAAACGCCATATCATCAATAGGCAATAGCAACAATCTTCGCTGCTACTACAGTTGACAGGTCGCAAATACGAAAATGATTTATTTCCTACACAGAGCAAAGAAGGCCAGCACATAATGAGATAACTCGATGGCGTCTGCGGCCATAAGGCACCGCCTTAGCACGAAAATCTATTGTAGGAGAAATGTCCTACACCATGTCTCACACAGTGAACGTAGTGCTAGCACTACGAAACCCCCATGGTTACACTGATTATGTAGAACAGAGGTGGGTGAAATAAATCAATACAACTCTCAAACCCCTGAGATGGGAACTACTTAGAAAATTTTGATTTTTGGTATTTAAATTTATCCGGTCCGTCTCCACTTAAAACTGTTTATCTGCTATAATAGCGGTTGCTATGAGATAAATCAGAAGAATTCCGAATGGGGAACGATCAGCAGAGTTTATAATCTCAAATAGTTTAACAATAATCATATTTGCATACTAATGCAATATTTTACGTTTAATTTTATATGCCACTTTAGGTTAGGAATAATGTATGGCCGACCCTGGAAATAACAAGAAATGTCGTATTGATCCGCACCCTTTCTAAATCTACAACCACTGCCTTTGAATGCATTATGGAAGCTGTGCAATTTATTTAGTGCCGATATTTTTTTTCGAGACCCTGAAACGCATACGCCCATTGGTCCATCTCGGTTTCACAAACGAAATGTTTACGAAAAACTGCTTACCTCAGTGAAAGTGAAGGGCTCTAGTATGAATTTTGTCGAATCAGGCGATAAGCTTTCAAATGCCTTTAACTCATGAGAAAGTCCATTAGCAATGTCGTATATATACAGTGTCAATATGCGCTTAACATTAAAAAGTACACGTTGACAATTTGCATGCTGCTATAAACAAAGTACACGCACGAAGGGATGTCGTCGAAAATCTTGGTTGCATACTCATCTTAAACAATTTTACTATCAAATGTGTTTTTCAACATTTCTCTCAGTTTTGAATTTTCATATTGACGACGACTGAAGCAATCTCGCTAAATCAAACCAAAGTCTGTCTTCTTATCGGAAATTCGTTTCCTCACTTTATGTAAATACATGTGCTGTCATCGACGGACCGCGTAAAACTGTTGGGGAGACTAAATAACAAACACAGCAATTCCTTCAAACGGTATTTTGTTTCATTCACCATTTTTAGAATGATACGCGCACATTAGATAAATGTCGTAGAAATTCTGTCGCTTATATAAGCTTCGCTAGCTCTGGGTCAGTTCAATAGCCGATATCGCAACTAATAAAGCCCGCGGATAACTTTAGCTAGACAAAAAGTGGATGCGATCTCGAATGGCATGTTATCACTGAAAAACTACCCATATATCACCTGTCGAACTCTGACTAAATACAATTTGAAAACACTGTGAAGTATCAGGCTGAAACAAATGCTCTTGATGATTCATTTTGGCTATGCGCTACGCTGAACAACGATGGGGAGCGATTCAAAACCTTAATGATATGGAGTTGAAGTGGCAATAATTCTGCATATGTAGCATCGCCTAACCTTATCAGATATTCGTAGTGCATAACGAGAAGCCATATCGGTCGAAAAATGTTGATGACAATTAATCTCTATTGTCGTTCGAGTGTTAATAGTTGATTCATTGGGAACTTTGCAGTAAGCTCATTGACCGAAAAGTCAGTATTTAATCGAGCAGCTCAATACATGCGCATACAAAGACCGTGCATTAGTGCACAATGCAAACTAGTGGGCAAATCCCCTCCCTATGTGGTATTCGCTTCAGCGTTTCCTCATAACGTAACCAGCACAGTAGGTTCGGTAATTACTTTAGCATGTTTTTGTAGTATTGTTAATGTTAAAGCTAGAAACAAAGGCTGTGTCCGGCGCAAGCTGACAGATTTTGTGTGCACAGGCTAATAAAAATAAAACTGCCTATTTTGTGCACCTTTCTTAGTAGTCCATGTAAGTACTTGTTGAGGAAAGAACAAATTCTATTAAAACAGTTTGTAGGTTAATGCTGAACGACCTGCTAGTGAAATAGTAGTACATCCCATAGAACTGAGCCATTCAAGCTAAGTTAATCTTCTGCTTGCACTTCTAGCATATGGCACCTTACGCAAAGTAGCCCGTGTACACAAAATAAAAGCAATGGGCAGTCGTTTTACTAAAAATAACAATTGTTTACCAATTAGGCAATGAAAATCGGCAACCCGCGCACAAATATCTATTGGACGCCTCACAAGGAGATGAAATAAAAGAATCCCCTTAACTGATAGGCCTTTAAGTTAGACCTTTGATCCGCTGTTTTCTTTCTATTGGAAATCACCCATGACATCACATGACGACACTTAGGTGAAAAGATATCAACTTATATCTTTTGAATGTCTCTAACCCATGATTGGCAACTGGACTAAAAAATCTTAATATAATAGATTAATTAATCTTCTTAGATTGAAAACTGAACTAGTAATAAATAATCAGTCCTCTTCTAAGTGTCTGAGCTGATATATTAAACATAGTCCATTGACGCTAATGCTTATACAGCTTTATTTCAGGAAGAAAAGTACATGCTTTAGCGGATGATGATGTTATCATCGAACGCTATCGGATTCATGTGGGTCTATGTATGTGTTTTTGAGGATTTGCCACAACCGATTGCACAGCTTTGAACATAGCACAATATGCAAGAGAACCGATAATTCACACGTGTGGGGCAGCGATTATAGTATTTTGATGCTTTATCGACACTGACTCACCGTAAGTTCGCGAATGATTATCGAAATAATAGATTCTTTTGCTTAACTATCAAAGGGAAACCTATCTAGAATATATCAGATTTTTTCGATATTCGCGCGGAGTCTATTATATAATATATCTTGGATGGTTGCCCTTGACCCGATGATAGAAAGTACATATCTCAGTTCTTTCTTAATAAACTAGATGTTTCCCTTGTATTCTATATATTATTGAAATTGTAACATTTTTTCCTTAGGAACCAGCTGCAAGCACTACTAACACTGAAAATTTTATTGGCAAAACTTTTTTCAATAAAGGCCAGCTGCTATCCGCTACCTTAACACACTTGGTGCATCAAACGAAAATGTAACTAAGTATAAAGTAGTATCTAATAACATTTAAAATCTGCACCTTAGCGCCTCTGACTTGCTACACGTTGTGCCCAGAAGCCGCGCGCCACAGAGCGTTGGCCAAGGCGATTCCATATCTTTGTCGGTCAACAGACTGACATGCAGCATTGCTCATGGTAGTGTTGTAGCAGTCACTGGCAATTAAGATCGCCTGACAGGACCGTGGTAAGGGTTAGTACAACTATGTGCTAATATCATTTGATAATTTCCATAGGCACTTGTACGTTCGTAAAGGGACAGGAGCGCATTCACAATTCGACTGCTGTTGACAAATCGCTTGGGCAATCTGTTGATAGACGACAACCTCGTGGACAAATGTTGGGAATTTCATATATTAATTCTGTCAGGTGCACCGTTTAGGCCATAATCTCGCCAATAGTTAATTACTATGCCAATGTCCTTAATTATATATACTCGAGTATACGAGTCCGTTTGAATATCTGTTTTTAATTCGCATGGCATGT